CATCTATATAGTTTATAGGTAGTTAAGAATAGCATTGTGGTACTTAGCTAGCATTAGGCGCTAGCTGCATTTAGGTTTTTAGTGGAATTAAACACTATCTACCTCTAGTAGTTAGTAGTAAGTAGAAAATAGGCAGAGACGTTTTGCAAAGGCTCTACAAGCTAAATTTTGTAATATTGTATGCATTTATATAGTTTATAGGTAGTTAGGAATAGCATTATAGTACTTAGCTAGCATTAGGCGCTAGCTGCATTTAGGTTTTTAGTAGAATTAAACACTATCTACCTCTAGCAGTTAGTAGTAGGTAGATAATAAATAAAAACATTTTACAAAGGCTCTATAAGCTAGATTTTGTAATATTGTATGCATCTATATAGTTTATAGGTAGTTAGGAATAGCATTATAGTACTTAGCTAGCATTAGGCGCTAGCTGCAATGAACCGCAGAAACAGGCATAAGGTTAGACCTGGGACAGTAGGGTTTTTTTCGCGCAAAGGGACGAAAACAGGTTCAAAAGCTACAGGCAGGCAGCGGTTAAGCTATATAGGCGTTGTGGCAGAAGAGAGAGTGGTTAAAAGGTAGGCATTAGAGAGGTCTTAACTGTTTTTAGTAAGAGGATTGTTTAGCAAGGCAGCAAGGGGCGCTAGCTGCATTTGGGGTTTTAGTAGAATTAAACACTATCCACCTCTAGCTGTTAGTAGTACATAGATAATAGACAGAAATGTTTTACAAAGGCTCTGTAAGCTAGATTCTGTAATTTTGTATGCATCTATACAGTTTATGGGTAGTCAGGAATAGCATTGTAGTACTTAGCTGGCATTAAGCGCTAGCCGCATTTAGGTTTTTAGTGGAATTAAACGCCATCCACCTCTAGCTGTTAGTAGTACGTAGATAATAGACAGAAACGTTTTACAAAGGCTCTGCAAGCTAGATTCTAGAATTTTGTATGCATCTATATAGTTTGTGGGTAGTCGGGAATAGCATTATGATACTTGGCTGGCATTAAGCGCTAGCCGCATTTGGGTTTTTAGTGGAATTGAACACTATCCACCTCTAGCTGTCAGTAGTACATAGATAATAGATAGAAACATTTTACAAAGGCTCTACAAGCTAGATTCTGTAATATTATATGCATCTATATAGTTTGTTGGTAGTCAGGAATAGCATTATGGATGGTACTTAGCTGGCATTAGGTGCTAGCCGCATTCAGGTTTTTGGTGGAATCAAACAGCACCCACCTCCAGCGGTCAGTAGTACATAGATAATAGACAGACACATTTCACAAAGGCTCTGCAAGCTAGATTCTATAATATTGTATGCATCTATATAGTTTATAGGTAGTTAAGAATAGCATTGTGGTACTTAGCTAGCATTAGGCGCTAGCTGCATTTAGG